CCCCCAAATAGCAACATCTGGTGTTTACCCTGTGATTCTGATGGGTGGCACACAAAGGTGGAATATTGGCACTAGATAAAAGGTAGGCCTATTTTCTCAATTGTCTCCAAGTGTCATCATATTCTAGCCACTTGTTTGCATGTAACACATAGAATTCTCTAATGCTATCTCACATCCCCCTGATCTCTAAAGGGTTGACACTAGATGTGGATGATGTCTTCTGGGAAAATGGCTAAACAAAAAAAAAAAAAAAAAGGACCTGCGTAATAAGGACCTGCGTAATAAGTATAGGCTGCAATACCACAGCACAATTGTTAGGAGGGAAAACCTACCCATAGGTAGATGAAGCTTGCTAATTGGGATGGAATATATCTAGAAAAAAATTAAACACTAATGCATGCTGAAGTTGAACACACTGAATTATAAGGTTTATACTTCTTTCCTCCAAACACATTCATTTTTAAAGAGCATATAATTTAAAAACAAAAAAATATTTTAGGGTATACGGGTATCAACAACCTTAACAGGCATCAATGTTTCAAATGTATTCACTCACATGTTCTGTGAAGAACAAAGACTAAGTTCCCTCTCCTGAGACAAATGAATGTTTCAGGGGTAACAATAATAATAATGCAGACACAATATCTGCTGGGGGAGACTGAACATCTACTGCATCTTCCCAAGGGCATTGATGCTGGCTTGGTAGGTAGAAAGCAAAATACTGCCACTTCCAGTATAAATGGGTCAAAACTTATATTTTACATCTAGCACGGTTACAAAAGGCTCAATGCACAGTAGACTGTAACTTTAATATTGAGAATATGCAGAGTTTCATAACCAATAAACTAGTTCCATAACCTGGAGTTCTCTACAACGTCTGTTTTTCATTCCCCAAAGCAGCCTAGACCCTAACCTACTAGAATTATTCATTGAAGATATTTCTACCATTGGCCCTGAACAAGAATCACCTGAAGGACGTTTACAGAATACTAAATAAGTAATGGCTACAAACTGAACACACAAAATGAATGCAACTTAAAAATATGTTGCAAGTAATCTTTGAATATAAAGAAACATTTACAGTGACTAAATTTTTTTCTCGTAATTTAAACAGTTTAAAAAAACACAAATACACACATACCAAAATAAGCAAAAGGTATACAACAAAGCAAAATTGAGGCGGTGATATTGCATAAGCAGTAACTAGAATAACAATTGAAGTGAACCACTAGTTTGGCTTCCGGTACCATAAAATAAAATCAGAGATTTACAATGCCTAATTTATCGGAGGTAAAAAAATTTAAAATATTACTGATACTACTTCTATACACTAATCAGTGTCTGCAACATAACGACCTTTTAATCTAATGCTTTTTTTTTTCAAATCTGGAATTTTACTAACAATTCTTTAAAAAAAATGTTAATTTTAAGTACAAAAATACAAATATACAAGACCCAGTGCAGTCTAGCAGTAAAATGAAGGATACTGATTTTGACAATCTGTTTGCAAGGTCAGAGGTTACTAAAAACCGTAACAGGTGGATTATGAAGAGGGACTTTGAATCAAATAGGTTTAGAAACAGAACATAACAAGGAAGAAATGTAAGAAAAAACAACAAAAGGTTTCTGAATAACAGAGGCTTAAACTGTAACATATACTGAAACAAAATATGGTGCTTCTCTCACGAGTGTCATGTACATGACAGGAATAAGTAAAGAAATGGGTAATATGAGTCATGTTATTGCTGCCCTTGTAAACAAAACTAGTTTTAAAATATGCTCATGTGTGAAAATGAACAAGATGTTTTGAGATGAAAACAGCAATGCAAATTCTAACAAGATCTGACCACAACAACTACAACAGTTTTGCTGAATGATAAAACACATTCAATAATCAAATGAATGCTTGACTCCACATAATTCAAGCCAGACCTACTCTAGACAAGCAAAGCAAAATATCACGTCTGCAGTAATTAAAGGGAGGTCATATAAGAAACAAGAGTGACAGCACATGACTAACAACAGTGATTTCCTATATCAGGTGAAGAAACACATTCCTGAATAGCAAATGTTGATGAAAACCATTATGTCCACAATATATAATGTGTGTGGTGAAATTATGGAATTTATAATTGCATAAGGATACAAACTTTCAAGATTAGATAATTAATGATCTTAATATTAGGAAAACAGATCAATTACAAGAAACAAGTTTAAAAATCACAACTGTTAATATAAAAAAAGTAAATGTTAGAGAGCTAAAAAAAAACATCACGAAATAAATTAAGCAAGTAATTTAAATGAAATGTAGAAAATAAAATAAAAACCGGATGAAAGGAATGAAGAGCAACAAAAGGCAACATATCTGTAATCCCTGACCTACTATGTGTTACGTGAGTGTTGACTAGAGGTAAACATATACGATGTTCTCTACACATTATGTTATGGATCTACATGGATAAGTCTATGTAGCACCTTCCAGGGAGGCTAAATCACCATTAATATTAGTTTTAGCAAGCTAAAATAAAATGCTAGTTTATCATCATCCTTTGTTTTTATTTACGTTTTCCTTTCAATTTGAACAAGACCTTTCAGTAGCATGGGCAACCTAGCAAAAGTCCAGACCTTCTCTGTTCTTCTTCATATGGCTGCCCTTCAAATTGTATCTTTATTTGGTCACTAATATGTACTTTAATCCCAGGCAGAACACAGGATTTCATCTTTACTGTTGTTTATTTTCCTAAAATCCACAGGCTATAACATAGATAGACTCTCTATGCAATGTGTTATCTGACAAGTGTATACTATGGCAGGGTTATTCAACTAAATTTACTCGGGGGAAAAAATGTTGAAAATGGGGGTTGTCGTAGATCAGAGGCCTGAGCCTCAGTACAGAAAGATCACCAATACAGTGCTGTTGGCAACAATCTGCAGGCCAAACATTTCTACATACAATCATATCTCTAGGCCATACCGGCATAGTGGGTAATGAACAGACAGACAGATTGGCTAGATCTGCACCACTGGGTGGTGAACTGATACATGAAAAGGCAGATGTGGTCAAGGCCCTTTGGAAACAGCAACGGAATCAGTAGAGAAACAAGATTATTATGGCCTGGAGAGACTGAGGTACCTGGGTGTTACCAGAGGGTCTGGCCAGCTCACTACACTCAGAGGAAGGGCAAGATGGTCACCAGATTGTGACCGGTACCATCAGTATTGGAACTCAGCGCTGGCTGCTGAAGATGAGGACGGAGCAAGCATGGGAATGCCCCAAGTGCAGTGATGCCAATTCTAGACTCAACTGAACTGCAGGCCATCTGCTAGGCCTCCATTGGCAAAAGTTTCAGACAACTTAGGAAATAACTGATGTTTCCATACTGTTATGGAATATACTGTTACATATACTATGGAATATCTGAACTCCATATGCTGTGTGTTACCTGAAATGTATGGGACGGTGGCAGCCAAAAGTTTAAGACCACCTAAGAAAAAAATGATGTTACATATGCTATGTAATTTCTGAAGCCCACATACTTGCTACACTGTACTGTCCTTACTAATGCGTACATCATTTCTACATATAAGTTTAGTATTCTGACACCACTTGCACACAGTGAACCACAAAGCTCATTATGAGTTAATAACAATATTATGGCACTCAGGATCTTCCCATAAGAGCGCTGCATAATCTTCAGCAGCAAGTGAAAAAAAAAATTCACTGAGGATATAACTGTTGAACCACATTTAGCAGCATTTCATCCATACTGATACACAAGAATCCCAATGACAATTGAGTTTGAAAACTCTCAAAGTACCATCAGTGCCATGTACTGTAGTAATAAATATCAATAATACACTATTCAACCCTTCTTGGTAATAAATGTGATATCTACTGATGTGTATACTGTTATTTCAGAAAATGGATAGCAATTTATTTCTGAGTCCTTTATATTGTGAAGATTTTTATAATTATGCATTTCCAAGTCTTTTTTTATGTTGTGTAGATTTTTATAATTATACAAATCTGAATCTTTTGACATTCTTACGAGGTAGATTTTTATAATTAATGTTCATTTCTGTCACTTCTGTCTGATATTTACATTTAATAAGTGACTTTTAATATTTTATTTCATTTTACAATACTGATTGATATCCACATGGGGGTAGTTAGTTTTTGCAATCTACTGCTTGTCCTTTCCTTACAGTGCTCTAGAGTCACCTGATGTGTGTCTGTGTCTTGCTCGTGCGCATGCGCGCGTGTGGTTTTTTTAAATAAACTTCCCAATAATCACTGTTACTGTTTTTATAGAACAATATATTTAATTATTGTTGCTTATGTTTTATAATATACATTTATTTTCTTAATTATTTACTTATTTCTTAGAACAATATATCTTTATTATTTTTTTTGCCTTTTTCCTGCAAGAAGAAATATTACGTTATCTCCTTTACTGTGTTCATATACCAGGGAATCATCCCTCGCTGTTCTCTAGGATCATCTATCTTTGTTTCACATTTTAACTTCATTGTTTTACCTCCCGATTATATCTCTCCCTTGCAACAATATATTTTATTGACTATTTTATTGTAATATATTTGTTTCAATTACTCTGTCTTGTAACAAAATATATTATTGTTTAATATAATCTATTTCATTTACTTTGTCTTTTAACAAAATATGTTAATATTCAATTTGATCTATGAGCTTCCTATATGAGAATATTTGACTGAGTCAAATTAGCAAGTTAAAAAAGTATCGATTTTTGGAATATATATAACAGATGAGTATGAAAGTGACAAATGCAAAAATCATTGCTTGATTGAACACAAAGGTAAAATTATTATAACTTGAACATGTAAAGTGTCAGTAAATTTAGCAACAACAAATAAAGATAAACGGAAAGCTTGACAAAATTAAAGAACTTTTCATGCTTGTAAAAATTAAAAAAATTAAAATAAAGTTGTATACAACAGTCACAACTAATGAGTCTACACACCAGAATCGCCTTGCTCGTCGACAGATGAAGCAAGCCTTGTGGCAGCTTCAGCAATGTTACTTTCTGTTGCCAAAACTGGTTCTTCTGTAGAAAAGATAAGAATTGGTGAGATTAAACATAACACATGTAAAAGGCTCAAGAAAACTTAAGTCAAGAAATTATAATACATGCCAGGCATAACAAAAAAGGAAAATAAAAAAAAAGAAATCATTAACACACCAGAATTTAAACCTCAGGGCCCAGCATGGCTAGAAGGTGTGACATCTGTTTTTAAGTTGTGCAGTGTACACAGTGTCAGCGTCTGTGGCTTAGGTGTTGCAAACGCACTTCGTAATGTCGGGGTGCCAGGTTCGATCCCAGCTGCGGACGATGTGTCTTGCGTTGGTTTTCGACAGTGGTACTGAGCGCTGACCACTCAGAAAGCAATGGCAAACTACTGCATGTAAAATTTGCCTAGAAAAAGCACAACAGCCAAAAAATGCTGGGGTTGGTTCTGCAACGTCCTGTAAAGGATACGCACTGTACACAATGCTCACATGTTACATTTCTCACCTGTTTCACCAAGAAAGTAAGTCTCAATAAGCTGTTGCCTAATGGGGAGATGAATGAGGGTGGGTGATATCTGCAGAAAGAAGCTAAGGTTCGGAAGGCTGATAGGGATATTCCTGTCTACTGTGGAATTTTTCATTAATGATCTGTGGCAACTGTTTTTGATCTTTTCTTCTTAAAAACTATGAATACATTAATATTTATATTTCTTTCCGAAACAAAATAATGTAAGCATGAAAAATGAATGATATCCAAAAGCAGTAGTAATTCTCCCCAAACCAAATCAATGTCATCCTGACCACAGAACGATATAAGCACTAGAAATTCTTGATATTCAAATATATACATCAAAATTAACTTGGTACAGTCACAAAATAGTGAGGGCAACAACATAAAGAGTGCTGACAGGTGCAACAAGTACTGGCATGTACAATGAAACAATCAAGATATAGTTCTTTCTATTACATGGTTACATATATATTCTAGCTTTATAATCATTTAATGATGCAATATGAGCAACCTGAGTGTGTAAAAAGTTAAAATAATAGTGACCATTAGCATAATGATGATGAAAAGCTGAGAAGCAGGATCCAATCAAAATATAATGACAAATACAAAAAGACTAATTATAGAGCCATATATAGTGTACAGTTGGAATATGTCAGACAGAGGGGTTACTTAGATTCCTCACAACATAAGCAACTGTTAGTCCCCTTGTTGCATGCTATTTGCAGAAAGCAAGCCATGGTCTTTCAAACAGACCTCTATATATAACACATCTTGACCCATGAAGGTTCGTGGAGGTGTATCCATGGAAGCACTAACATGTAAAACCTGCCATCTTCTTCTGTCTTCTGCTTGTTGAACAAGTGTATGATAACTTAGTCCTGCCCATTTCTTCATGTCATTCCAGGTTCTACTTTGCCCTCTCTTCTCAAATACCTCTCAACAGCCTTTCTGTCCTGTACCAATTCCCCTTACTTCTTTGTCTTTGTTCACTGGCTGTAAGCTCAGAGGGAATGTCCTGGCTCTTTGTCCATTTCGGGTTTCCTTTTGTTCCAGGGCCTGAGTTTTACATGTACATCCATTTTACTGGCTTATTTGTGTGCAGTTGCTTATTTCTTGCTGCTCGGGCAGGTGTACTCCTATGACATGCTTGTTTGTGTGCTGTTGCTTATTCCTTGCTGCTCAGGCAGGTGTACTCCTATGACATGCTTGTTTGGGAGGAAGTGCACCAATTCTTGTTTTCCCCACAATGAGGCCCCAGAACCCACACGGGGGAATTCCCCTTGCTGATGTCTATCATGTTTAGGGTGGCTCCAATATCCTGTGTCCACTTCTGGCACTGCCTGATCCCTGACCCTTCTTCCATCCGCCATGCCTGCTACTGTTGTTTATTCTTATGCCAATTTTTTCATTGGCACCTTTCCATCTTTCCAGAGGATAGTGTTATATTGTGCTATGAGGAGGCATGGGAATCACAGCCCATGGCGATGGCGAGTGTGACTAGCAAGACCCGCCCCACGTTAAGAAAAGACTCCTACAATTATAGCATGGGATTTCAGGACCGTTGTTAACATTTGTATTTAGTATGTTTCTTCTCAGACGCTCAGCTCTCATCCGTTCTGCAATCATTTCTTCCTACAAGTCCACCTCAACACCTGTATCATCTGTATCTAAGCCACTACACTGTTTAATTTGGTTACAGTTTGTCAGCTTCTGAGATCTGATGATGATGACAAATGTTACTTCTTTAAACTATTTAATGTCTATGTTTAAAAGAGTTTGTTAATAACAATAGTGAGGGAAACGAGAGAGGAAAAGGGATTTAAGAAATGACATATAGAATATCTTGAAGTAATGTAACGATTGGGACATTTTGGGTTAATGTAACAAATGGGTTGAGTACAGATTTATTCAGGAAAATATACCATGCTAGGAGTAACCAACAAACACACACAGTGTGTATATGGGCCAGTCCCATAACTGTATGGACCAATCAGCATGTGATGAGTGAGGTTACTGCAGTTGCCTTTATTTCACAAAACATTTCCCAATACCCATTTTGTGCTGAGCTCACCTAGCAGCCAAATTTAATCAAAATCTGTGTTCAGGGAATTCAAACATGTAACTATCCTGGCAGGCAGATTGCATGCAAATCACTGCACCACCAAGGACCTTCGAGTACTGAAGGGGGTACAGTAAACATATTACAGCACAAACATTTGACAGAGGCAACAAATATGAATTTCAATACACACTGATACAAACAATAATTTTAAAAAGGGAGCCTTCAGTAAAGTATTCACAACAGTCTAGCAGAAAAGTGGCACTACAGAGACCAGAAAGTCTAGTGATCCCAAAAGTGCAATCTAGGAATGCAGCAGCCACAGAAGTCTAGCAGTACATCAACCACCAAAGTATAATCTAGCAATACAGGAGCCTGAAACATTTAGTCTAGTGATATAAAGACTAGAAAATCAAACAGTACAGTGACCCAAAAAGTGTAATCTAGCAATGTGGCAGCCACAGAAGTCAAGCAGTACATCCATCAAAACTAAATCTAGTAATACTGAAACTACAAACATTTAGTTTAGTCTAATGGTCTCTAGAGACTAGAAAGAAAGACATAGTACAGTGACCCAAAAGTCTAATCTAGCAAGCACAGAAGGCTAGCAGTACATCTACCATTAAAATTAATCTAGCAGTCTAGAAAACACAACAGTCTAGTAGCAGTAGACACAGATATCTGGAAGAATAGCAGGCCAATTTGCAGCCATGAAAGTTCACTCTAGCAGTAGAGACCACAGTAGTCAAATGTAGCAGCAAAGCAAGTCAAGCAGTGCAACAACCAGTCTAGCACTTTTCGTCTCATCTCTCATCAATAATAAAATTCTAAGACAACAATTTAACAACAACAAAAGTCTAATATTTACAAAACACAAGTCTAGCCCAGCAGCACCAAAAGTATAAGTAAAGTAAAGTAAAGATCCCTTTTCACGCCTTTCGGCGCATCGGTCATATGGGCAGAGCATCCCATATTTTTACAGACCATCAGCACTCTGTGGGTAATGTGGTCAGCATTACGCCGGCTGTCTTTACTTTCCCAGGACAGCCCATCCTGGTACCCATTTTAGGCTGGGTCGACCTTCGACGTCCCATACCACGACAAAAATCCACACAGGACCAAAAGTATAACCTATTATAAAATAAATCTAGACCACTGTGTGGCGCACGCATGCACGCACACACACAATGTAGCCCAATGGTTCGTATTTTTCCAAATTATTCAACAATGGATCAGCTACCAAAGATATACACATGCGTACAACCGGTGTAGAAAAAGTACAACAAATAAACAATAACAAATCTCTGGAAGAAACATGGCCAGGAAAATGCAACAAATATAATCTTATAAGATAATCATAGTATTTATGTATTTTATGTTGAAACCATATAGACAACTGGACACAGAATCAGCTTTAAAAAAAAAAACGAAAATGTATTGAAAATCAGAAGATACTGAATATAAAAATGTCTAACATAAGCCTTGTTTACTTTTCATTATGTTCTGGTTTACTAAATTGTATTCTGTGATTTTGCTATTTGCTGTGATTTTATGTAATGCCTTTATTTTATAACATATCCTAAAATGAACAGATCTTGTATGAGTAAAGCATGAATAAAGAAATTATTCTAACACTAAAAATATATTTCTCTTTAACCTGCTAAACAGAAATCTCTTTAATTTGCTGTATAAGCAGCACTTTACCCAGGAATAAATAATACAAGAATGTGAAAGAATACGCGTGCAAACTTTCCTTGGTTTCAAAACAGAATAAGAAGGGGGAAACAAATAAGAATCTCACAAACTTTATGGGTGCATTTGAAATCGGCCTATACAAAAAAGTTCCACTTAACTGGTTTGAAAAATACTAAAGCAATGAAAATGTATCCAGAAATTTCAGTGATTGTCCAATTTAAAATAAAAATATATGATCATATTTGTTGCATTTATATAGAAAGAGCAAACACCAGAAAAAGCTAACTGGGGTAAAACAGCACTTCTCCTCAATGAAGTGGAACCCACGACGACTAGCTGGAGTGACAATGAGGAATACCTTTAAGGACTACAATACGTTCCGTGCTGCCATTTGTTGTGATGACGGTTGTCTTCTGAATTGTTTTCCAAACATTGCCATCCTCACAGATTCGGTAAGTCTCTACTATCTCTGTCATTTCTTGTCCATCTTCATCTTCATCACTTTTCTCCTCTTCAGCAGCAAATATGAGACAATTGAAGCAGAATAATCACAACTCTCACACTCATGCTGATGGTGTTGTTTCAAAACTCTCAATTCACAGAAACAACATAAACACAGAAAAGAACTTGGATACATGAATACATAGTTAGTGAAACAAACATTTATATTAGATTACCTAAACAGGTAGTGTTCTATCTATTTGTACAAGATAGTATATAAACTGTGACACACACACATACAGAGAGAGAGAGAGAGAGAGAGAGAGAGAGAGAGAGAGAGAGAGAGACAGAGAGAGAGAGACAGAGAGAGACAGAGAGAGAGAGAGACAGGAGAGAGAGAGAGAGAGGAGAGAGAGAGAGAGAGAGAGAGAGAGAGAGAGAGAAGAGTGGGGCGAGACAGAGAAAGGAGACACAAAGAAAGAAAAAGTAAGAGAAAGAAAGAGAGGGACAGAGACACATAAACAGAGAGAGAGAGAGAGAGAGAGAGAGAGAGAGAGAGAGAGAGGGGGGGGGGGGTTGGGGTGAGACAAAGAAAGGAGACACAAAGAAAGAAAAAACAGAATAAGAGAGGGAGGGACAGAGACATAGAGAGAAATAGAGAGAGAGAGATGGGGGGGGGGGGGAAGAGGGTGGGTGAGACAAAGAAAGGAGACACAAAGAAAGAAAAAGAGAGAAAGAAAGAGGGACAGACACCCATAGAGAGAAAAAAAAGGACAGAGAGAGAGAGAGAGAGAAAAAAAGAGAGAGAGAGAGAGAGAAATAGAGAGAGAGAGAGGGGGGGGGGACAGAGAGACTGTCCTTGCCAGTGACAGCTAATAAAACGACTGGCATGCTATAGCTGACAAGCGGTTACTGACCCATCATCTCACAAGTCCATGCATCTTATACAATGAATAGTGATGGTAATCAGAGACCGACATGTGGGAACAGAGGGGGAGATATGATGCTAGTGGTTATGTGAGTGTGGAGTGAGGTTAAATGCTGCCAACATCACCTGCATTAAACCACAGCTGTACATACATATTAAAAATGCAGACTGCTGGATCAGGTGAGTCGGCAACATTTCTCCAATGATCTAATTTCATCATTTGTGGGGAATTGTAAGTGCAGTGGTTTCCATGTTATACCAATCACCTCCAGTTTGAATTAACCCTGTTTTTTTTTTTTTTCATGATGCAGATTTTACATGATAGAAGTAAGTTGGTTGTCTGCCTCGCCTGATGCAAGAGTAGTTAGTGAACTGGGCATCTAGTTCTCTCAGTCCTCCACACACAGAGATGTTACCATTACACGTGTTAAAAAAAAACCCACACAGCTGTTGGAAATAAATTTTATGGGAGAGGACAACACAGCAGGCAGAGTATGCCACTGTTCATATTTAAATGTGAAATGCTACATAGAAAAAAGAAAAAAAGAATATTTGCAGCTGCATTAAAAAAAAAATAAATGCTCACTGGTGACAGGAGTCTGTGCACTGTGTCAGATAATCGTTGGGAGGTAATGGGGTGAGACCGGAGGCTGTAGCACTGACAGATTTGTTGTGTGCAATGACAGTAATTCTTAATCAAAACCAAACAATGCTTGCAAGTGTGTCTACATATGTGTACGCATGCATTTATATGCAATAGTCATCTACATGGGTAAATGGTGTATGTGTGCATAACTGTACTTTGCAGTTGTATACATAGGTATATATTCATACAGTACTGAAATATACTTACATATGTACATAAATGCATGTTATATGAATGCATGCATGCATTCATTCTTATACTTTAAAGTTGTATGTATGTTCTTATGCATGCACACATGCTTTTATTATGTCATTATGCTCCCTGTGTGGGTTCTTGGGGCCCAGTGTGGGTTCTGGGGCCCCCAGTGTGGGTTCTGGGGCCCCCAGTGTGGGTTCTGGGGCCCAATTATGGGAGGAAAAAACCTACTACTCCCTAACAAACGTGTCATAACAACAGGCTATTAATTAGGGGCTTTTCCTCTGAAGCCACAGTTCATCTTGGCGGCGTCCGTGGCTAAGGCGTTGCGAGTCCGACTCGTAAGCCAGCATACCGCGATCGAAACCCACTGCAGGCTGCGTGGATTTTTGTCGTGGTATGGGACGTCGCAGGTTGACCCAGCCTCAAATGGGTACCAGGATGGGCTGTCCTGGGAAAGTAAAGACAGCCGGCGTAATGCTGACCACATTACCCACAGAGTGCTGATGGTCTGTAAAAATATGGGACGCTCTGCCCATATGCCCGATGCGCCAATAGGCGTGAAAAGGGAACTTTACTTTTGTTTTACACAGTTCATCTTCCTGTGATAAACAGAACCAACAGATCTGTAAAATCAGATGTGCCAGCATAATTCAAGTTCTGGAACACGACCAAAGACCCAAAAGTGGACAAACAACCAGAACTTTCAGAGTTTATAGTTACTGAATGCTAAGAAGCAGATTAGGCATTTCACAAACATTGTGTGAACAGAGAAATCAAACTCATGTCATTAAATATTCATATCATTTGCTGTCAAATAAATACTGCATGCATAATGTTAAATACATAACTGTGTACATTATCGTAGAAAAAGGCAAAATGCAAAACAGGCAGGACAACTTCTCAACCCTTTGAAAATGAAGCTCCTTCCCACATCTCTCTCTCTCTCTCCCTCTCTCTCCCCCCTCTCCCTCTCTCTCTCTCCCTCCCTCTCTCTCTCCCCCTCGCTCGCAAGAATGAGATCCCATGCGGACCTTCATTCTAAATTTGAAATGTGGACATTGCTGGAAAAATGATCACATCTACAGTGGCTGTGAACTAAAAGATTTCAACAAAACTAGACAGTGATAAGGAAATAATGACAGTATGGTTTTCTACCTGCTTCCAGTTTTTCGGTGGGACTCGGGGGAGGTGTGAGAATTTCCTCCTCATTCTCGTACTCTTCATAACTGTCTTCTACTTGCACTCGGTCGGGTTGGTCTGAAAACAGGAAGTGTGGAAGAACATGCTTAGGGCAAGTCACAGCAATCAGCAGGAATTCACATCAACACATGCTAAGAGCAGTGAAACACACACATATACCAACCTGTAGTTTGTTGATATACACATACAAACCTGCGGTTTACTGATTCACACACATACAAACCTGCAGTTTATAGACAGACAAACCTATAGTTTGTAAATAATGAGCAAGACAGTGTGGTAGAAGAAGCTTCTCAATATCTTATCCTAACTTTTGCATTCTGAGAATAGTGAGGGTTGTGTGTGTCTAGTCTACATGTCAGCTGCCATACCGAGACCCTACCACTGATCTATTACACTGAAACTGAAATTGCCTCCCCTTAACTTCACAAACACTATACATATTCTGAAAAAAAAAAAAAAAAATTTTTTAAACTGCTCAAACTGACCAAGACATGGTAATTTAAGATAAACTTGATTTTCATGGCACAAATTTTACAGTGCAAGGCAACAGCACTAGCCATGTGGCCCTAAATCCTCAGGCTCAAAGACCCCCTTCTTGCAAAAGTCATGACATAGGCATGAGAGAGATAAGACAAAATGAGCAGTCAAACTTGCCAAGAAAACAATTAGTTCTGAGAAACAGGATCGCCTGTACTGCTTGGCATGCCAGCCATTATGTGTGAGAGTGTGCAAATTGTACAGAATACTTTTACTATTTAACCTTAACACTGACAGAGCGGCTAGACGCTCACCATGGATCACAAGGTCGTGGGTTCACTCCTTGTGGGAGCCCGACTTTTTTCAAAAATGACCTTGGCTCCCAGGTCAACCCAGCCATGAGTGAGTACCGGATGCAGTCCCGGTAAGTAAAGACGGCCGGCGTGATGCTGACCACATCACCCATCTTGTGCCGATTGGTCTAAAAAGTATAGGTCTAGCCCTATATGCCCTATACACCTAAAGTCGTGAAAAGGGTCCTTCACGTTTGTTACTTAACCTTATTGAAGAATCCTTTGTCAAAACTACTACCCAGAAAACAGGCTGGTGTGATCATGATGGTGTTACAAACAAAATATTCAATTAACTAACAATGCACACAGCACTTGTGATCAACTACTGGATGTTTCACAAACAGCATCACAAAATCATTGCAACCTCACTCAATTACAACTTTGAAGACTGAACTCAACAGTGGAATTAAAACATTATAACTGGGGACTTTGAAGAAATGTGGCTTAGGTATTGCAAATGTGCTTTGTGATTCTCAGATACCTTTACTAAATTAGATGCCACCTTGACACTGTTAGCAATCTGAAAAGCGTAGTGAGGATGTATTCTTTGACACATACCATTACATGACCAACGGGTATCTCAGTTAGAAGGAAACTACTACACTGTGCACACAGCAATTCCAAAGAACATAACTTCAAATATACATATCAAATCATAGATCTGTTTGTCATTAAACTCTTATGGATTCTTCTTGTGTCTTGAATTCTGTGCATCCCGTATTTCTTTTACCACCAGGCTTAAACGATTCACTGACATTCTTCAGTTTCATACATTAGTTTCACACAAAAAAGCCAACATAAATAATAATAAACATGTTAGTTAATAAGATATGCATGCAGTCACCCCTAAAATAAAAGCTTATACAGTAGGCAAGCCATTAAGATAACAAAAACTTATTCAACAGAAAAGGTACAAACTAGTCAAATTTCAGCTTCACATATTCATGCACTAGTGACTGCAATCTGGAGTGGGGGTTGGCAGGTGGTGTATGTGTGTGTGCACATGTGCACCCGTGTGTGTGTGTGTGTGTACAAGTTGGGGAATATCTGTAGCTGTAGAATACCTTGGGGGGGGGGGGGGGGGGGGGCATTTAAATGTGTGCATCTAGTTGCCACAGTTTGTTTAAAATTGTTTTTTTTTTTTTTGGTAAGGCCTCTTTTGTGCAATTTTTAAATAAGAAGTCTGCATGGGTTTGTGTAGGTTTATGTGCAGCAAACTGATGTGATGGTTTAGTATGTATCTATGTGAATAAGGAAGAAAAA